CATGTTGGTCTGAAGCAACTTGAACTTCGTTCTGTTGCTTCAGACCAACATGGCTGCCCACCTAAATCTGATACAAATAACTGGCACTTTTGCTTCCTGAATCATACGCATTGGCGGAAATTAGCTGCAATTTTTATTTCTCACTCCAGTCCAAAGCACTTCTCTTTGCTGAACCTTTGGGATGTATTCATCTCTTCCTCTTAGACTCTGATATGGAAGCATATTATAAAGTCTTGGACAGCATCCATTGTGAGTGGAGGATGGGGTGGTGGCACCCATTCCCTCTCCATAAAGTAGCTTCCTGGTTAGTTCAGTTGCTCCAGGCTCCATTTCCTCCTCTTCTCTCTTGCCTCCAGTTTGGCAGCTGCGGGGCCAGGTGTCTCTCCTCAGAGTCTCCAGCTGCTGGCCCCTGTTGTACTTCTGTTGAAACTCAACCTTGGCCTCTTCACCTGTGTTCTACCTCCAGAGGTCCCACCTTTTCTTTCTGTGCAGAACTTGGAAACTCTGAAGTATCTTCTTATGCTTCAGCTGTTGGGGAAATATCCACACGCACTACCTGTTTGTGTGTGTGTGTGCAGTTCCCTGTCCAGCTAAGAGGCCATGAACCTGAAATCTGAAAGTTTGCAAACAATGGCAAAGAACCGTCATTTACACACTTGCTTTTGATTAAGTGCATTATGTCTGGAAAGGTCTTTTTCTTTCTTTCTTTCTTTTTTTGCTTTGATTCTTATTTGGCAGAATTCTCTTTAATCTGCCTCTCAGTCCTGCCTCACTGGTAACAATTATACTTATATTGTCTTGTAGGGGGGGGGTCAACAGTGGGAGGGCTTCTAATGTCCTGGCCCCACCGGTGGACCTCCTGATGGCACTGGTATTTCTGGCCACTGTGTGACACAGAGTGTTGGACTGGATGGGCCTTTGGCCTGATCCAACATTGGCTGTTCTTATGTTCTTATCCATACGCACTACCTGTTTGTGTGTGTGTGTGCAGTTCCCTGTCCAGCTAAGAGGCCATGAACTTGAAATCTGAAAGTTTGCAAACAATGGCAAAGAACCGTCATTTACACACTTGCTTTTGATTAAGTGCATTATGTCTGGAAAGGTCTTTTTCTTTCTTTTTTTTGCTTTGATTCTTATTTGGCAGAATTCTCTTTAATCTGCCTCTCAGTCCTGCCTCACTGGTAACAATTATACTTATATTGTCTTGTATGTCTGATTAGAAGCATTCCTCTGTTGGCTTAATCTCTACAAATACCAATTGATGAATGATACCATGGGAGGATCAGAATGCCAAAGGTGGGCCAGATCAGTAGATCCACATAACGCCTGATTGATAGATCCATGCGCCACATTGAGTTTTCCTCTTCAGTAGTGAAGACCCTTCTTAAGACAGATCCTGGAGCTGCGGTGGCTCAAGTGGTTAAGACGCTGAACTGCAGGCTGTGGAAGGTCGGTAGTTCAGCAGTTCGAGACCCGGGTGCCGCGTAACGGAGTGAGCTCCCGTCTCTAGTTCCAGCTCCTGCCAACCTAGCAGTTCGAAAGCAAGAAATTGCAAGTAGATAAATAGGTACCATTTCGGTGGGAAGGTAACAGCGTTCCGTGTGCCTTGGTGTTTAGTCATGCCGGCCACATGACCACGGAAACGTCTTCAGACAGCGCTGGCTCTTCGGCTTGGAAACTGAGATGAGCACCGCAACCCTAGAGTCGGATTCGACTGGCTTTCGAGTAAGGGAACCTTTACCTTTTAGACAGATCACACTCTGGCTTTTCCTTACTTCATTTCCTCCCTGATGTGATCTGTCTTGTAAACCTGCAGGCAGAGCCTGGCTTATATATATAAATAATTATCATTATAATGCCTGGTAGTTTTAGGTGTGTTGTGGATGCTGCTGTTTATCACATATACAGCATTCCCATTTCACCAGATTTCTGATTATGCAAACATTTGGTATGTCTTCCCACAGCCATTTACAGTCATGAGGTTGTAGTGTGCCAACGTTCCTTAATTAATTCGGTAACAGATTTAACATGCAGGTGGACCGAAGAATGTGAAACACAGAAAAAGAGGAGGTGCCTCCATTATCATGGTCCCATCCATTATGCCAGCGGTCCCATTACGCTGACACCATCATGCCTACAATAATGGCATTTTGGGTGTGTTTAATAAAAACCTTTATTGGTGTATTATCTGCAGTTGTGGCGTTGGCAAAGGATTGGTGCCCCATTGGAGTTGGATTTCTGTGGTTAATGACATAGAAGTGAAGATTAATTTGGAATGAGCCTGGACTTCTAATTTTTTTTTTGAAAGCCCAGTGATCTTTAAGAATTATTATTATGTTTTGCTCCAAACAGGGGGCCACATCAGATATGTCAGTAGCTTCCACTGTCACAGGCTTTAGCTGGCGTTATAAAACCTGGGGGGAGGGAAGGGAGGCGGGAACGGCAGGCCCAAGAATCTTATCCCCTGAAATGAAAGTCGGATGCCAAATTGAAATTCCTGCAGGATTTCTGATAGCAGTGGGGGAATTGAAAAGCCCACAATTAAGCATATGGGCATTAAGATAATTGTCAGATCTGTTGGCGGACATGATAGAAGACAGATGGGTACGAATCAGTGCTCTCTACATCAGCACCCTCGGAGAGACAATTTGACGTTTTACCTACCTGAGCTCCTCTGCCGTATTTGTCACTAAATGTGCCGCACAGAATCTTACTGAGTGTTTAAGTGTTTTTGTGTGTACATACCATGTGTACCTATAGCAGTACCTCGGCGCCCTCTAGTGAAGAGCTACGGGGAACCTTACCATTATTTTGAAATGCCCATATCTCCCCCCCCCCAATCTTCCCATACCATCCCTGGAAGTTGCATTTTTTATGTTCCCTTTGTTCACGTAAGCTTTGCATACGAATGGCCTCCTGTTGCTCTCCCATTACAGGTCGGGGCTCACCGAGAGGACGCAGTTGGTCTCCGCGGCAGCCATTCGCTTGTGCCAAACCAGGTTCCCGTTCCACAGTTGCCAGTGCAGTCTGCTACGTCCCCCGACTTAAACCCGCCTCAAGATCCATACAGAGGTGAGTTCAGTAGCACTGGCATCTGCACTATGGCCGTTATGTTAATCCTAAGAAATTGTGTGGGCAAATCTGTGTGCAGATTATCACATAAGGCCCTTGCAGTACCAACACAAGGTTCCTTCACGTTGCCCCGCCAGTGCAGCTGGAGGAATATTGGACTCATTTTATAGCACTCCAATTTATTGGTATGAGTGATTAGCTGAGGAATTTAAGTTCATTCAGGTTGCATAATAATGCATGCAACAGCAAGTGTGTTTATGGAATCTAGACTGGGTAATATCCTGACATGAACACCCCAGGTAGATTGTGTGAATGGATGCAGAGAACCAGGAGTTCTGAGGTACAGAAAGTCACAATGTATAAGTCACACCTTTTACAGTTCCGCAGGGCCTGCAAGACAGAGCTCTTCCGCCAGGCTTTTGAGTAGGAGCCGCCGCCGCCACTATTACCACCATCGTGCACTACAGAGCAGTGCCGTCGGGGGGGCTGGTTAGCCAACTGGGGACATCTCGGCCCATGGCACCCCTTCTTTCTGTTGACCTCACGGTTGAGATAGAATAATGAGGGAGTATTTTTAACTACCGATGCATCCTGTAAGATTGAATTGTGTTTTAAATGGCTCATTGTGTAATTTTATCGCACTTGTGTGCCTAAATTGTTTTAATGTGTTATATTTTATTGCACTGTTGTGCCTGTGTAAGCCGCCCTGAGCCCGCATGCGGGGAGGGCGGGGTATAAATGAAATGAAATATAAATAAATAAATAAATAATTCTTCCTGCTGTATGGGACTGAATGCATCTGCAAGCATTTGGCAATTATTGCCCACCCCAGTATTGTTAAAGAATTGATGGGTGTCCTGGTGATAACAGGTTGCCAAATCAGGCCGGAACCTGCCAATAAAAATGACTGTTCTATTTATTTTTATTCATTTATTCTCCCCAGTGGGGGCCCAAAGGGACTCAGCATAATTCCCCACCATTCTCCATTTTATCCTCACAACGACCCTGTGAGGTAGTTTAGGCTGAGAGAGGGTGACTGGCCCCAGGTCGCTCAGTGAGCTTCCATGGCAGAGGGGGGATTTGAACCCGGGACTTCTAGATCCTGCTCCAGCGCTCTGACCACTACCCCAAACTATGGCATCCTAGAGCCATCATGATGCACAAGATCGTCTATTTTTGGTTCTTTATCACCTATGATTGGTTTCGCTGATTTTTTTCACACATTAGGAAACCCTACAAAAACTGTTCAGCCAGAAATGACAGCACCTGGTTAGACCAGCGCCCCCCCCCTCCCAAAAAAACCCAGTAGTATGTGTGTGCACAACAGTGTCTCCATTGTACCACCAAGTCTCTGGGGGGAAACTGCCAATAAACTTCTTCCCTTCCTTTTTGTGTCAAAATTGTAGCTGATTTTGTAACAGACCTAGAGCCCAAGGGATAAGGTGAGGTGCAAATCTGTAAAGAGAAAAAACAATCTTTTAGAAGGATCCATTATACCTAACAAGGACCCAGGCACATATTTATCTATGTACTCGCCATGTGCAAGATTTGCCTGGGACCTGAATAAGCTGAAATGGAATTGGTTTTGTAGTGGGCTCGCAAAGGCCTGGGAAGTGGGACCACTGATCTTGTATGCTGATAGGCAAAAACCATTATGCTGCACTCGTATTTCTTTGGCTGTAAATTGAGACGCCCCCTTATTTACAAAGGCAGATCTAGACTATTTCTGGGGAGGTGCTGCTTGAAGGAGTTTCCTGCTCTGCCACGGCTGTATCTCTTTGATTACCCTTGATTGCGCAGAGGTTACGCTTTCCCACAATTATTGTTTCCACAACATTGAAGCTGGTGATTTGTAGGCAATGAAATTGGTATCCCTTCCAGAGGCAGCACAGAGTGGATCTCAGCCACACGACCAGAGCTGGGAAGCTGGCTTTGACAATTGCTTTCCTGAAACTTTTTTTTGTGTGTGTGTGCAAAATAATTCTGTTACTAATTAATGAAACACTGTTTGGCCCTAGTTGGACTTCTGAAGAAAATGGACACGAATTGGTTAACACTTTTGCTTCATCTCTCTCTCTCTCTCTGTATATATTTATACATATTTCCCCCCATAGGAATGCCAACTGGACTTCAGGGACAAAGTGTGTCTTCGGGGAGCTCCGAAATCAAATCTGATGACGAGGGAGACGAAAACCTCCAGGACGCAAAATCTTCTGATGACAAGAAGTTAGACGACGACAAGAAGGATATCAAATCAATTACTAGGTCAAGATCTAGGTAACCGTATATAATAGTGTCGCTTCATTTAATTCCTTTACTGGACTTCGATGAAGTGAACAGAACAGGAAGAAACTCTGGAGTTTTTTTTCCTGCCAGACGAAACCCAAAAGCTAAAAGGAAGCTCTTTCTGGTAGTACTAAGAGTATCTGTTCGGATGCGTGTACTCCAGGAGTGCAATACATTGCTTCTGGGCAATGAAATCAGACTAATTCTGTATTAAGCATAACGTTTAAAAAAAATTGGAAAATAATAAATTCAGAGATAATGTGCTTGCAATTTGTGTATGTAAACGAATGTCCTTAAACAGATGCCGTTTGTGTAACAGTCTGTGCCCAGTGGAATAGATGTTTTCCTCTTGCCTTTTTTTATGTGCGTAGCTGTGAATGGATAAATCAATGTAGCTTCGTTTGGGTTAAACAGAGCTAGGCCTGTTCGTGCCATCTGAGGCCCTTTTGTTGAGCCTTTTGGAAGGTGCCAAGAGATTTCATCACATCTCGATCCCAAGGATGACTTGGTATCCTTATGTGGACCAGTGTTTCTTGCTCACGGGCATCAGTGGCCGTAGCATGCATGATTTTGCTTGGATCGCCACTGGCCCTCCATCTGTTCTTCATGTCCTGCCTAAGAAATATTGCAAAACATTAGTGAAAACCTTGTATTTCGATTTTATCATCAAAGCCCTTTGATGAATGCACCTGGTTTTCCATTTGGACTTTACCACTTGAATAACAGAGGAATCGCTGCTTAGTGTACAGGGCATTCCAGACCATCCTTGCGCATACACATGTAGAAAAATACGTAGTTCTGAATCATAAATAGATGCAACTCGGAAATATAGATAGGTTAGTAGCAAACCTGGGGTGTTGGCAGACCAGAAGGGGTGACTTCAAGAAAGAGCAGGAAATCCGAGAAGTATTGTTCACAAGCACTGGACAGATGCTATGAAAGAAAGCCTAGGTTTACTGGTTAGGAGAAACAGCAGAGATGCCCACTGAAGTTCAGAGTATCTAAGCCAGCAAATAGTGTGCTCTTTGGCTATTTCCTGTGATTTCTCCAGCTCTTCATTGCACTTAGAGGTGTAAAAGACAGCCTGCCTCATCAGAACCTGAGAGCCAGGAATGACACGCACAACCTTGCTAGTGGCAAAATAGCCTAAGCAGAATGCAGTGTATACCTACTGGGCTGCATTCAGGTCTTTAAAGTTCTCCTCCTCCTACAGTGTATGTCCCTGAAGCTGAATTATAGAACGAAATTCCATATGGCAGCTCCGATAGTCAAGTGCAGGTTTTACTCAGGATTTCTGTCTCTGCAGGAGCATCTCCCCTTCTTCAAAGTGCCACGGTTACTGATATAAATATTCCTTCCAGGGATGACAAGAAAGATTCCCGGGTATTTCCTTTGTAGGCTCTATAGGTCAGTTACAGGATAAATCAACCGCAATTCAGCAATAATCCATGGAAAATCTGCACAGAGGATAAACCCTGAAGCTGCATTTGATGTATAGTCTAGAATATATCATGGGGAAAGGAACATAATTTGTTTTGGTTGAACATAAGAAAATTTGCATGTTATTTTCTTGAATTTGGCTGATGTCTGTGGCTCTGCCATCAGTGTTCATAATCTGATGCTAGTACCTGTTTTCAGCACAGACCACCAAGAAATCATGTGCCTGCCCCAATGAAATAAATTTTGTTTCAGTTGGGGTATGTAAGAGAAATGCCCAGTGTATTGAGAGATAACTGAGCCAGCCCTCAGAGTAAACGTTTTAGCAGACAGATTCGGCGTCTTAAACAAACTGAAATATATTGCTATGTAGTGATTAGGTCATTAGGTCTCCTTTAAAGGTTTCCCTTGCTTGAGAGCTAGTCGGATTCGACTCTAGGGTTGCGGTGCTCATCTCCGTTTCCAAGCCGACAATCTCCGTTTCCAAGCCGACAATCCAGCGCTGTCCGAAGACTTCTCCGTGGTCATGCGGCCAGCATGGCTAAATGCTGAGGCGCAAGGAACGCTGTTACCTTCCCACCAAAGTGGTAGCTATTTATCTACTTGCAATTTCTTCCTTTCGAAGTGCTAGGTTGGGAGGAGCTGAGGCCAGAGCCGGGAGCTCACTCCGTCACACGGCACTCGGGTCTCGAACTGCCAAACTACAGACCTTCTGGTCTGCGGCTCAGCATCTTAACTGCGGAGCCACCGCAGCCCATCTATATAAAACTGCTATTTTATAGAGTAATGTGATCCTGGGTCATAAGTAGGTCCACAGAAAAATCTTATCGAGATCAACCAAAATGACACAAAATAATGCACAAAATTTCCAGTTCTCTGACATGTGAAAAGGACGTGTCAGTCTCTTTTTTTTAAAGACCATATAAAAGCCAGCAGTCAAGCAAGTGTCTGCGCTATTATTAACACAATGCACGGGTCCCTTATACAGGCTTCGGGTAAAGGAACAAAATGATAGTTATTGCATTGACATAACTGGAGAGAAATTGAGATGATTTTAAGGGTGCCAGCCTCCAGGTGGTGGCTGGAGAGCAGTAGTGAATTAGTACTACTAGTAGTCAGTGAAAGCCAGATTGTCTAGTCACTGAAGTGTGAGAAACTCAACGTAAGCAAAGACCAATCCCAGGTCACCTTCCCACAGTTGGAAAATCTCTCTTTTACAGATAAACCCGTATCGTCCCAAAATATAGAGAGATCATAGGCAGCCCAGAACCTGATTAGATAAGATGGAGCTGGTTCACTTTCTGAGGGAAATGGCAATCTCTTTTTGAGACTCTTAAAAGCCAACAGTCAGTCAAGTGCCTCTCCGTCACCAAACACAGGTCCCCTAAAAGGCTGAGAACCCAGGTAAAACATGGTAGTCCTTATATCTAGTCGATTCTTAAACATATCCTGCACAAGATGCAGACAAGAGGCATTAATACTTTTTTTTAAAAAAAAATCCAACCTGAGGGAGAATTCTTGGGAACTCAAAAAAGTTGCACAGCATTGAGCGATGTTTTGTCTGGTCTTCTTAAAAGGTACGATGCACCTTTTGTTTTGGGGACTGAGCAGTGTGATGAAAAAGTACCCATAGTCTTGATTCTCTTTAAAGCAAAACTCGTTCTGTGAAACTGCTTGACGTGAACGGCAATGGATGGAGCGCTTTTGTCTTTTCCTACACCACTAGAAAATGCTGTGTTCTCTTTGTCTCTCAGCAATAATGACGACGAAGATCTTACACCAGAGCAAAAGGCAGAACGCGAGAAAGAAAGGAGGATGGCCAACAATGCCCGCGAGCGCCTCCGTGTCCGTGACATCAACGAGGCCTTCAAGGAGCTGGGCCGGATGGTGCAGCTCCACCTGAAGAGCGACAAGCCCCAGACCAAACTCCTGATCTTACATCAAGCCGTAGCTGTTATCCTCAGCTTAGAGCAGCAAGTCAGAGGTCAGTTAGATGCCAGTACCAGCCTCACGCACTGCTTCGCTTACTAAGGCACGCTTATGGCCTACTAGGCCTCGAGGTCCGTTGTTGAAAGAACAGTTAGCTCATGGGCCCAGAGCTAAGGATTAGTTTACTCGGTTTACATCATTCTACGAAGCGTTCTCTTCATGTTCACTCACCCTGAAGACATCACATATAATGAAGAGGTCACATATAAAAGTTGGGTCTTTCACATAAGAACATAAGAGACGCCAATGTTGGATCAGGCCAAAGGCCCATCCCGTCCAACACTCTTGTGTCACACAGTGGCCAGAAATACCAGGTGCCATCAGGAGGTCCACCAAGAAGTCCTCCCACTGTTGACCCCACCCAAGCACCAAGATGACAGAGCATCACTTGCCCCAGAGCCCCTACCTATACCTTGTGGCTAGTAGCCACTGATGGACCTCTGCTCCATATGCACATCACCTGCTACCTGATCCTTTCAACTGGAGATGCCAGGGATTGAGTGTAAGACCTTATGTGTGCATGGCCCCACCACACTAACTTGAGAGCCAGTTTGGTGTAGTGGTTAAGACTACCAAGGAGTACCAGGGTCCACTACTTAGAGGCAGGCGATGGGAAACCACCTCTGAAACCTCTCTTGCCTTGAAAACCCTATGAGATCCCCATAAAGTTGGCTGTGGCATGATAGCAAAAAAACAAAACACAAAGCCGTGCTTCAACTCATGACACTGTTTGGTGTAGTGGTTAGGAGTGCAGACTCTACTCTGGAGAACCGGATTTGATTCCCCACTCCTCCACATGCAGCTGCTGGTGTGACCTTGGGTCAGTCACAAGTTCTCTCAGAGCCGTTCTCTCAAGAGCAGTTCTGGAAAGAGCTCTCTCAGCCCCGCCTACCTCACAGGGTGTCTGTTGTGGGGAGGGGAAGGAAAAGGAGATTGTAATCTCTTCTCTCTCTAGATCACCTTTGCACAAAATGGCTGCCATCTGACAGCTTGTTGAAACTTCGTCCATGTTGCTCTAGCAAAGAAAGATCTTTCGTGTTTGTCAACTACGTGCCTCTACCCTGATAACGAGATTTATTTAGTTAGCTGATTTTTACGATATCTTTCTGCCCTCTTTAGGGCCCCCAACCCTTTAAGTTTTGCTGGAAATGAACGGTTTCCGGTCGAGTAGGCCCCAAGCTTTGAATTAGGCCAGCTAAACTCATTGGCAGATTTGCTGTTTACCAGTTAACATGCATTTAGTGGCTACTTTGCATTACAGTCATTCACATCAAAGGAGCTAAGCTGGCTGGTCAGACACCTTTACATAAACTGGGTTGTATCCAGTCAGTTTTTCTGTCGGTGAAAAAGGGAAGAAAGGACCCCTTTGGCCATCCAAAATGGCTATGCTGGGGGATCATGAGACAAAAGCTATGCAGGATGGCGGCTGTAGTAAGGATGAGAATTTGGAGACAGTGAGCAGAAAAGCTATCCTGATCCAACCCACTGTTGTCTTTTAATAAACTACAGTGAGCTCACTACCAGGTAACATTTAAGCTGAGGCTTCTGAGGATATATTTTTTTAAAAAAATGCATTTTGGTTTGAAGCCCATTCTTCTCATAAGAGGTCTGGGGTAGAGTTAGCAGTAGCACTGAAGGTGAAGATGGATATGTATCCAGAATATTCACAAAGCGAGGTGGATTTAGATGGGACAGATAAAGGAAAGGCTTCCTTTGATCCTAAAAACAGCCACAGATGTTAAAGCCAGAGGTACAGATATGCATATATTGTATTGTTACGGATAGGGGTGGTTAAAGGACTGAAGATGGCAAATGAAACTAAGGGTGCAAAATTAGCTGCCAAATGCAGTTCGTGTGCTTAGAACATCCTTTCACTTTGGTCTCACAGAAAGGAATCTGAATCCTAAAGCAGCGTGTCTGAAAAGAAGGGAAGAAGAGAAAGTATCTTCGGACCCTCCTCCGCTTTCTTTGGCAGGACCGCACCCTGGGATGGGAGACACATCGAATCACATGGGACAGATGTAAAAAACAAAAGGCAAGTTTGGTTACGAAGTCTCCATAACAACTGTCCGATCCTCGTTGGCTTGTTCAGGGGGAGCGGGGATATCTTGGCATTAATTTATTTACTGGCTCGTAGCCCAGCCTTCTCCCAGTGGGTCTGAGATCAGTCACAGGAGGAGTGAACGTAGACATACCAGTCATCCACATTTATAGCAAAACTAGAAATAAGGCCCGTTGTGGAAATAAATACAACGAGATCTAGAAAGAGGCTCTGGGAGAGTGCTCTGGCTTTGGGCAAACAGTGTCAGTCTGCTTTTGAAACATGAACCTGGGACCTGCACACCACCAGAATACAGCAGGTTCCATATGCAACTGACATTCCAACTGCCTTGCGGGGGGGGGAGGGAGTTTGAGGTGTGGAATGGACTGAAGTCCAATCAGCTTCCATATGCAAAAGACCAGGTTGTCGCAGCAGTTGTGGTGTGGGCGGGACCCGGGCTTTGCCTTCTGATTGGTGGCGATATATGCTGAGGAGCAGTGCCATCAGCCATACACTAAGGGAGTGCATTTTAGAATTAGAACTTTGGCACCCACTATTCAATTATATATAAGGAGAGATGGAGAACCCAAGAGCAAATTGAGACAACCACATGTGCACCTGGTGTAACTGAGCGGAATGAGGGATTGCTTGTTACGAAAGCAATCCTCCATCAAAATAGTCATAGTTTCAGAGGATAGCCACATTGGTCTGCAGTAGAGCCGCTAAAGTCGAGTCTAGTAGCACCTGAGACACCAACAAGGTTTTCAGGGTATGAGCTTTTGAGAGTCGGAGCTCCTTTTGTCCAGTTTGGTGTAGTGGTTAGGAGTGTGGACTCTAATCTGGGAGAACCAGATTTGATTCCCCACTTCTTCACATGCAGCCAGTTGGGTGACCTTGGGTCAGTCACAAATTCTTTCAGAGCTGTTCTTTCCTCGAAAGAGCTCTCTCAGCCCCACCTACCTCACAGGGTGTCTGTTGTAGGGAGAGGAAGGGAAAGGAGATTGGAAGCCGCTCTGAGACTCCTTCGGGTAGTGAAGGGCAGGGTATAAATTCAATCTCTTCTTCATTGCTGTGCTATCTGATTAAGGGAGTTTTGTCTCTTGAAAGCTTATGCCCCCAAAATCGTGCTGGTCTCTAAGGTACTGCTGGACGCAAATCCAGCAAAACATTCATTTATTTGGAAAGTTCATACAGTGGGAACATCCTTGCTCTTGATAAAAGATTCCAGGGAGTTTCAGTACCAGGGTGCTTTTAAGTAAGTGATACGTGTATGCAGGGTTTTGTTTTGTTTTTTAAAAAAAAGAGGTGCCGGAGCTCTCAAGAGGGAAATGAAGTTTTCAATCTGTATACTGAAAACTCATGAACCTTTAAACATTTTTAAAAGAATTTTGTTGAAGAGGTTCCGGAACTCTGCTCCAGCACATTCCCCCAGAAAAAAGCTCTGTCTTTATGCATTCTGAAGTGATAAGCATACTGGCATTTTCTGAAGATAAACTTATGATGGCTAAATAGCAGGATATCTTTCTGTCAAGACTCCCTACCAAGTGTGCGTGTGTTGGGGGGAGGGGAGAGATACACAAGTGCAACATAGGCAGGTGGAGAGAACCAAACCCTTCTTCTGCCTGAAGTCCCACTCCCCACGCTACTAATTCACCTTTTTTCTTCTAGTGGTAGTCTCGTTCTACCACTGCGTCCCATCTTGAGGAAACGTCTTTTTAAAAGTAGTTTGGGAGGGAAAGGATGGGTAGAGAAAGGGTTCTATTCTGCCTGCTCAGCTTTAATTCTCACATACTCATTTTGTAGGGAATTGTCATCATCTGGATTGGATTGTTTCTCAACATGTCTAAATGTGAGCCTAAAATGAGTTAGTGTGCACTAGGGGGTTGGAGGTAGGATTTAATCTTGGCCATGAACAAGTCAAGCCACCATCAGCTTTCCATTTCTGTAAAATGGGAGTAACAATCTATTGGTATGATAAAGATTGTTGAGAAATGCACTGTGTACCATTAAAATATTGTACGAACGAATTAACAGTAATAACGAAAGTTCAGTCTCCTCGGCTGACCCAGATTATTTTTTTTTCACTTATTCCACAGGTCCAAGTTGCTACATTTTCTTCATGTAAACCAGAGACCACTTCCTTAACAGCTGTATTATCTTAAACCCACATAAACACTTAACCCCCCTTTTTTGTAATATAATAAGACAAGTCTGAGTAGTTACGAATCACAGACGCACGAGATTTCAGCATTCCCAATTCTGAAACGAAACAAAAAAAAAAGGAAAAAGTGCAACTTGAGGGACGCCTCTCTTCAACATATCATTCAGAATGTTTCGAGCAGTACGTCAGGAGCTGTAAAAAATGCACAGCCAAGAGACTGAATGGCAATCTTCTCCACACTGTGGGACAATGCATTTGTGCCTAAACTTCTTTTGGAAAAAAATATAATTAATTTGTAAGTCTGAAAAAAAATATTTAATTTAAAAAAATTGTAAACTTGCAATAATGAAAAGTGTACTTCTGAAGAAAAAAAATGAACGTTTTTGTTGGTGTACTAGTCCGCTAGTGTTTATACTTACTGGATATTAAAAAGGGAAGCATTGCTGCCCACGTATTTACAAAAACCAGCAAATGTCCTAATGAAAACTGAAGTGATGACATTAGCCATTCCTTAGGGTAGGAGGAACAGATGGATCTTATAGACCTATGACACACACACACACACACATATATATAAATATATATATATAAATATATATAAATATATATTAAAACTAGTGAATATGGTAAGCTTTTGTTCATTGGTTTCAGACTTTTTTGCTCCTGTAAAAAAAAGTACTGATTAACTTTTTTAAAAGAAGATTTTACTGTAAATAGGGATTTTTGGTCTTATTTCTCTCCCACTCCCTTCCTTTGTTATTATTGTAACCTGTAGTGCCAACTCTGTTGCTGGAGAGGCAGATCAGGATGAAACGCTGACCCTGATGTTGCTTATCATTCATAAATAAGTAGAGAGTTGTTTGTTTGGTCTTTTGGGGAGAATACAGGAACTGACCAATCACGTCATGTGCGGAGAAGCTGCAAGCAACCTTGCCGAGACTTGGTCCAAACCATTTTGGTACCGAGTCGTAAACTTCGCTCTCATTAAGACCCTATTTCTGGGATTTTTTTCAGAGGTACAAGGTTAGAATGCTACAATGTTACCACTGTGCCTTCCAATGTTTATATCATCGGAAACATAACATAATCAAAGGTGGCTGTGAATTAACAAACCAGTAGAAGTGTTAACTTTAATGTGTGTAGCCTAAATACAGTATGCAGTGAGGCGTTTCAGAATACATGGTCAGATTTGGGAGGGGGAGAAGGAGTTCAATTGGGATAAATGCAAGTTGTGTGACAGATTTTGATTATTATTTTTTTAATTTAAGTGGATTGCTGAAAAGTAGACCATTTGCTGCCTCCTCCTTCATTCATGAAAAAAAATGCCAATTTTCAGTTGTCATGAAGCATTAGAACAAGCCTTACCAGTTCTAAAGCATTAAGTTGCACTTTCTTGAGGAGGGGGAGTAGAACAGTATTTCTCTGGCCAGTATGAATCAAGTTTTTATTTAACATAGATGAAATAGTAAGCATAGATCAAACCTATGGCACAGCAACTCGTCCAGAAACTAGCTCTGAAATATGGGCTCAACAGAACCAGTATCCATAACAATTCCTCTAACAAATGACTCTGGTGTATAGAACAATTAACAAACAGTGCTCCCAATTAAGTCTTTGTCATCATCCTTTTGTCTCCAATTCCAGCTTCTGGGGTTGTTTTTTTTCCGTTTTTTAACAGCCACACAAACTTGGCATGTGTTTTTAAATGAAATCTCCCTGTTTGAGTAGATTTTTCCACCTATCAGCACTGAGTAAATGCCATAAGTCCATTGAAAACGGTCTAGACGTTCCATCTGTTCTCCTGTTTTGCCAGTTACATAGTAATGAAAAAAATACATTTGTAAATTTTATGCAACAAAATGGCAAACGTATCATTATTTTGAAATTGTGTATGTAAAAGTTATATTTTTACATGTAGACTCTCGTTATTATGTGTTTTAATACATTGTATCAGTTTTTTGTTTTTTTTTCTAACGGTGTGGTTGAAACAAAATCTCATTTAAATGAAATAGTG